AGAAAAGTCCTTATGTATTTAGATGAATTGAACAACTTTAAACCTATGAAGGAAAAAAATCCAAGAGATGTTGAAAAGTTTGCGGATTTGTTAGATGTGGCAGTGACAAACTTAAAAGGAGCAAATAGAACAGAAGAAATTGGTGATGGGACATCACTAACTACAGAAAAAAGTTCATCAACTGCAAAAAAAAGTTCTAGAGATAATGTTAACTAAATACAAACGATGGGTGTATAAAAACAGGTTAAACAAAAATGTTAAAAAAAACTCTAAAAAAGTTTATTGTTGAAGAAGCAGATTTTCAAATTGCAGCAATGGAAGCTTTACATGGTTTAAAAAAAACTATTGGTTGCAAAGCACACGAAGGAAGTTCTTAATTTGGTAACAGTAATCAAAAAAAAAAAAAAAAAAATTGGATACAGATATGTTCTGTTTGCAAAAACGATCATAAAGTATGGGAGTGTCCAACGTTTCAAAATCAAAATATTAAAGAAAGATGGAAAACAGCTAAGAAAAATTAACCATTCTTCAAAAGAGTGCAGGAACACAAGAACTTGTGGGATTGATGGCTGTACAGATACTTATAATTGTTTGCTTCACAAGAAAAGACATCAAAACGAAACAGTTTCTGAACAATTTAAAGAAAAAGACAGAATAATAGAAAATTCATACACGTCGAAAATCCATTTTCATTCAAATCACGTCATGAACTACATATCTCTTAGAACGGTGCCAGTTATTCTTCGAAATGGAAACAAAAAAGTTGTGGTGAACGCATTCCTTGATGATGGAAGTACCAAGACGTATTTGAACTCTGATGTAAAGACTGAGTTGTCACTGCAAGGCAAAACCAAAAAGGTAACTGTAAACATGATAAATGGAAAAATTGATTCTTTCAAAAGGATGCCGGTAGGAATTCCAATTCCAAGCTTATTTTAAGCAAAGTAGTGTTTTTTTGTTAATTAAAAAAACCTTTTTAAATTAACTGAATAATATTTTTTAAACTTTATTAACCAGTGACATAGCAAATGTGATAATGTCAAAAGTAATAAAATAGTTGACTAATTACAATAAAAATTAAAAATACTACTACTTATATTTAAAAAGACCTTTTTTTGTGTGCTCCTTTTTGTTATCTTTGGTGTCCCAAAAGATTTTTTTTTCGAGCACGGGGCGACGCTCTCCTTAGTTGGTATTACCTGAACTTATATCACAATTTTACAGTAAAACAACATTTAAAAATTAGTTTTTATTATTTGTAACGTTAAGTTTGTGATAAGTTATTAGTATATATATAGTGGTCAAACTTGTGAGATGGTATTAAAAGTTCGGTCAAAGTAGATGTTTTCATTTTAAACAAAATATTGAGAACTAGTTTTTATTTTTCATTTTTTTATTTTTACAATATCGATTATCAATATAATTTTCTGCATGTTGCATGAAAAAAAATTGAAAATTTTTTATGCATGATAAACAAATTTTATGCGTGATAAATAAATGTTCAAAGCTTAAGAGACTGAACTTAGGCGATTTTCGTTTGACACGCTAACCGACCAAGCTAATCCAGCCACACTGCTACTTCCACAACTGAGCTATCCAGCCTATATAGGTCCATTAAAATTCCTCACTAAAATTAACTTTTAAAAATGTGATATTTTGGCTAATCATCGCCTATCCAAAATATCACATTTTGAAAAGTTACTGAGAGCAAATTTTAGTGAATGGTTCGTTAAATAACCGATGAGCAAAACTCCAATGAACTGTCCATGCCTATATAGGTTTTAAAAATCCACTTTATAAATAATTTCTACAAATCCGCTAGATAAATATTTAATGGGATGTCTTTATTTGTTGTAACCTTTTAACAGTTGTTGTTAGTAGTGGAATAAAGATTTTAATTGATTCAAATATTGATTGAAATGTTAGTTTTTTGAATACCTGATTAGTCAAAAGTTTGTGACAATTCATGTATAGTACCGTAAAATGTATACTGGGAAGAGTATTATTGCCGCACTTAAAAGACAATAAAGTATGGATCAAGTCAGTACATTCAAAATTAGTTCACCTTGTACCAGAGCTCGCGTAAATGAATCCGATTTTTTGTTTGAAAAAAAATATATATATATATTTTTGCGGCGATGTTTGTATGGAAAAACATCATTTATTTTGCGATAAAATGTTTGACATAAAACTTACAATTTAACTTTAAATTCAAAGAGTAGATTCTAAAGGTTGCTCGTAGTCGGTTTGATGAGGTAGCAAAAAATGTTACTGCGCGCATTGAAAATAAATATGATTTAGTTGCTGCTGATTCTAAGAATCATTGTAGTTGTAATAAATCCTACTTGAGACAAACCATTGAAGGTAAAATCAATCCTCAGGATAAATCTACAAATTATGCGATGGAACAAATATATATACATTGAAACAAATATACATACATTGAAAATGGAACAAATATACATACATTGAAAATAGTGATGGTTGACTGTTTTTATTAAAAGAGTTAAAAAGTATTTGAAAAAATCCATATATAGATAACAATACAATTAAGTTAGGATTAAAGTTAAAGTATGGCAATAAAATTGCTATCACTGAAAAGTCGGGAAAATTAACTTTTATCTATTTTTTTGACTAACATTTTTTTTTCAAGGTTAGTATCAGATACTTGGTATCATGCTTGGTATCAGAAAAAAAACCCAAAATAAAGAGGAAGAGCAGTTTCAAAATTTAAAAATTGCAGCAGCAAACATTTGCTGCCGCAAGAAGACATTTAATCATTAGTATTTGATAATACCAATTATCCCTCGCCTAGTCGAATATTTGATGATATTAATGGCAATATTATTTTTTTGAAGCAAGTAGTTCTTAAAAATAGAAAATCTTTATTTGAACATTTAAAATTAGTGCGTTCAAGTATCAGCCACAGTATTTTGTTTGCTGTAGGCCTAGATTTTTTAAACTGAAATTACAATTGAGTTTCAGTTTTTCTTGATTGGCGGTTTTGTTCAACACGTCTTATAACATTTTTTTCGTCTTTTGGTTTATGCGCATCCTACAATGACACTGTGGTTTATGAGGCATTAGCAGCGTTTCACCATTCACTTTTTATCTTACCACCACAAGAAAGTACATTTATTCAATATGTTTCAGACAATGCTGATATAAACGTAAAAACTTCAGACAGTAAAAACACGTATTTTATGTTGGGCATCATTCATTTTCAGGGCCGGCGCAAGGGCCATGCGATTTATGCGGTCGCATAGGGCGCCGCGTTGGCTGGGGCGTCGCGCTGTCTGAATTTATTACAATTAACTTTGTTAATAAATACAAAATAATAATGAGTTAAAAAGATAGGTTACTATTTAAGCCTTAATAACCATTGTTTTCTATTTTTATATTCTTATCTTGTTGTTTGGTGTTGGGTGTACTTTTATTAACCATTATAAAAATCATAAAAAACAAAAAATAAAATAACTTGTAATCTAAGTGCAAAAGACGTCAGAAGAAAATTCACAGTCCTAAGATTTACAAGACATTCTTGATGAAGCAGTTGAAGTTATACCTTTTTCTGTACAAAAGCGCTTTAATTTACAACCAAGAACCAGTAAAAGTACATCATTTTCATTTTTATTTAAGGTTTAGCCTTTTCTTAAAAAAAAATAAAATGTATAAAAATACAGTACAAAGTCTTGTTTTATCTCCTTTCATTGTATTGTGTGTCATATGTTCTTTGGTACTCAAGAATTAGTTTATCGTGGAAACTTTTTAAAACTTTTTTTAAACATTTGACAGAGCTTTAAAAAAAAAATGAACATCCTTACAAAATATGCAAAGGTTTTTTAATAGATCAAACATAAAAGGAAAAAACTAAAAATTCTAAAGTTTGTTTAATTGCCGAATTAACCTCACTATGATTGTCAACAATGTCTTCCCGATGATGTAATGAGTTCGTGGACAGGGCTGTTATGATGTGTTTTGATTTGATCACTCAGTTTCCTCCTGTCGTCTTTGATTTTACAATTCCATTGGAGAAGACATGTATCTCCCGCTAATGCATAGCTTTTCCACCCAAATAAAGACAAGCAAAACTTATTATTATACTCCAATAATTTGCCCTTTCACTAGTAAGCAGAAAATGAACGAAACTTTTATCTTCAGCGTTTGTTGAGTTATTTGACACATTATCGCTTACTACGGGTCCACTTAAATATAACATACGAATTACCTAATATTAAATGAATTTTTTGTGGTTTTTTGCGATTTGTCGGACTTCCGCATCTTGTAGAAATTCTAGATCACAGACATCTTCCTCTTCATAAAGTATATTAAAATAAATAGTTTTTTTTGTTTTTTTATTTGTATTAATAAATGAAACAAAGTCCTGTTTTTACTTTTTTGAATTAGCAACTTGGATTTTTTACGAGTTTTCTATTGATTGGGAGAATAACATTAAGTATAGCATTTAATTGCTAAATTGGATTTCTAGAGTTTATAGAAATATTAGGCGATAATAGAGATCTTCGCAGCAAATAGCAATTTTTTGATAAATTTGCGGTATCTTGCGAGATTAACGATAAAAACGTGAGTTAATTGTAATTGCTGAGATTTTTGTGGTCGTAAATCGAAAAAAAAATTCGATTAGTTAGCGGCTAATCGTAACGGCTGACTTTCCCCCTTTTAGCATAAAAAATCATCTTATGCCGTCTATAGACGTAACTACGCAATTGACTGCAACAGATAACTGTTGATGTTTTTATTTATTTTACTGAACTGTATAGCTTAACCTAAATAGGAATTAACTTTATATTTAACTTTATCTTTTGTTTTTAGTCTTATGTTGTTGTACTGCTATACAATACCTAAAAACCTAAATTAACCTAAATTGGAATTAAGTTTATGTTTAACTTTATGTCTTGTGTTCTTATTCTTGTGTTTATTGTACTATATACAGCTTACCCTAAATAGGAATAAACTTTATGTATTGTTTTCTTAGTTTTATGTTATATCATAAATAAGTTTGAAATATGGAAATAAATTCAGATGAAAGTGATGGGGTTTTTGTGAAAAATTCAGCAAAGAAAAGAAAACCAGATCAAAGCCTTTGGAAGAGAAACATTGTAAAGGTTTCCAGAATAAAAGGCGATGAATATGTTAACTACCAAGGAAATACTGTACCTCAAAAGTGTACTGGCTTCCCCTGCAGGTACGTTATTTTGTATTCAATATTAGTGAGTAGTTTTTCAGTTTTACAATTTTGTTTGTAGGTAAAAAGTTTTACACAGTATAAAATAATCTTTTGTTTTTTCAGCTGCAAGAGAAACAACTGTCTTGAGACTATTAATGAAGAGGATCAAATGGATATATTTAACCATTTCCATGCTTTCAACACTAAAGATGAGCAAGATTTGTTCCTACAATCCTTGATTGATTCCCAAGAAGTAAAGCAGAGGCGACCCAGAAAGGAAGACAGTTCTAAAAAAAAAAAGTGCTACCTTTAAGTATCATGTTATGGTGGGTTCTGATCGAATGCCGGTTTGTTTTAAAGCTTTTTTAAGTTTACATGCAGTTACTAAAAAACAAGTTGAAAATATTGCAAGCTTTGAAAATGATTGCGAAAAGCCCAGTTGATAATAGAGGACGTTATATAAAACAAGTATTGTCTGAAGAAATCAAACTTTTTATCAGACAGCATATTGAAAGCTTTCCAACTAAAGAAAGCTACTATCTTGGAAAGCCTATATGCTATCTAGATGCCACATTAAATGTTAAAACTATGTATAGACTGTTTAAAGAAAAATACTTTTCAATAAAAGTTGGAGGAACAAAGTATTTCAACTACTTTAAAGAAAACTATAATCTTTTCTTTGGAAGGCTACAAGTTGACATATGCTGCACTTGCGAGGAACTCAATATAAAATTAAGGAGTCCTCATCTCAACGAGGCAGCAAAAAGGTGTGCTCAATCTGAACTTGATATTCATAAATGCAAATCAAAAAAGTTTTATGATCGAATCGGAAATAACGTTAATGATAAGGACAATAGGCAAATTTTATCATTGTGTTTTGACTTTATGCAGAACATACAGATCCCAAAAATACCAGTACAAGAAACCTTCTATCTGAGACAACTTTCAGTTAATGTTTTTTGTATTCATAACAATAAAAGTAACAAAGCACAGATTTTTGTTTACCACCAAGGCACAGCAGGCAAGGGTCCAGATGTAGTGTGTTCCCTTCTATTTAACTACTTAATGAAAGTAGAGCAGCAGTTTACTGAACTCCACTTATTCTCAGATAATTATTGGGGCCAAAATAAAAACCATTCATTATCTAGGCTATTCTTAGCCATGACTGATTTAAAGAAAATTTGAAAAGGTTGAGCAATTCTACCCAATAAGAGGGCACTCCTTCCTACCATGTGATAGGGATTTTAGCATAATAAAGCGAGAACTAAACCGACATGATAGACTGTACACAGTAGACCAAGTATGTGAACTTATTAAGGCATTCTCCAAAAATGATAAATTTATGGTACAAAAAGTTCAATCTTCAGAAATTTTAGACTTCAAGACGTGGTGGCCGCAGTTTTATAAAAAAAGTTGTGTTTCCGATAAAACTAAAGGTAAGCAAGTTTAAAAGAACAAAAAGCAGTACTTTTCAATAAGCAAGTTCATGCACTGCACATATAATATAAAATTTCCTTCTAAGGTTATTGGACGATCTTTTATCGATTCTATAATAAATCACAGCTTTTCTTTTAGAGCAACAGGTTGCCCAAACTTATGTTTTCCAAGTAAAGAAGCTTACCCTGCAGGAAAAGGATCAATAAAGATTGAAAAAATGGCAGACATAAAAAAATTACAACCCTATATTCCAGTGGAGTTTGAAGACTTTTATGCTGAAATTTATATGTGGCCTACAACCAAAAAAGTTGAAGTTGAAAACAATGACTAAGTTGTCATTGCTTATACTGCTTATTTCAGACTAATTAGATTTATTTGAATATAGTATATATTTATAAAATGAGTTTCTTATAAATTTGAGTGTATGCAAATATTAATTTCTTAGTGTTTTTAGTAAATAACATTGTTTTTAAACACATTTATATGTCTTTTTATTCAAATTATGCTAAAAGGGAATATGTCAAACAACTTTGAAGATTTTTTTTCATATGAAAGCATTGTAAATGTCATTATTCAAGTATGTCACATAATAACTGGGGTAATAAAGAGTTCATATACAAAAAATTGCATCTTTTTGGTCAAAAATGAAGATAATGCAAAGTTTTATTTAGTTTTCTCAAAACTATGTGTTGTTGACTAATCCCTTTTTAGCATGAGCCGATTCATTTAATTTGCAATGTGAGAAAAAGGTTACAAAAATCAAGTAATTAAGCCGGTCAGTTTAAATGTTTGCCGCTGACATGAGAAATAACTTTAAAAATTTTAAAATCTTTAGTGACCACTAGAAAACAATTTTCAACAACACAGAAAGAGTACACTTCTTTGAAAAATGTAAGGAATACGAGTATTCATCAAAAACACATACCGGAATCTGAGCTTGATTCACATACCGGAATCTGAGCTTGATTCAAGTTTTAAGATCTTTGTCGGCTAAAAAGGCTGCAACAGTTGTCTTAAAAAATGTTTTAGAATTTGGGATGAACATTGACAACATCATTGTCTGCTCAGTTACTGATTGCTTCCATGAGGTTAAGTTTGAAAAACTGGTTCTAACTGAGCATCATTACAATCATTCAAAAAGTGTCATCACAGAAAATCACAACAAAAATCGACTTTCATATAAAGATGAACTCGAGGAAGCAATTCAGCAATCTGCCGAAAAATCTTGAATTTTTTTTCAATGCGCTGGAGACTACTCTCGGATGCTTATTACAAGCAGATGGGAATTTTGGTCCAGATCTAATAAACGATGGATGGTGGACGAGGCGGGGGGGGGGGCGAGAAGAGTCTTAATAATATGGTGGGTGGGAATGCTTTACAGAACACGCATAAAACAATTTAATACTAGATACTTTAATACTAGAACTTTGCGGTCGAATGCTCATTTAATAATAGCTGTTAAAAAATGAGTATTAGATCACATTAAAATTAATTATAATAATTTTAATATGATTTAAGCTCACTACAGAGTTTTTTTATTCGATACAAATTTTTTGCAATAAATCGATTTTTTATAAGTAAAAAAATGTTCCGGCTACCTCCGTAGTAAGATACTTCAATTCATTTTTGCGACTGTAAACTGTATAGAGAAACAACTCAAATTATTTCTTTAGAACCTTTGTTATTATTAGTTATAAAAAACAAAATTATATATCATAAATAAAAATGCTTTAATGTTAATTCAAGAAAACTATTGGTTTTCAACTCGGATTAATAACCTATTTTCTTTTTTACTAGGAGTGCAAGGCGTAGTGAGTTAATAGACGTTCTTATCGCATTTTTGTGGTATAATTTTTATTTCAACGCGTAGCAACGGAATAAATAAAATTTTGCTATGGACAAAAATTAATAAAAAGTAATTTAAAATAAATTTAGAAATAGATACCAAAATTTTAATTGTACACCAAGAAAAAATTAGAACCTACAATAATTATATTAGTCAAAAAAGAAATTTTGAAAAAGAAAAATTTAATTTTAATTACTGTACCGTTAAATACTTTTACCAGTTACCAATCTTTACTAGTTACCAATATGAATCTAAAAGTTTACACCACTAGAAATTCTTATTTTAGGTTATTTAAGTGTTAGCAAAGAAAATTTAAAGACTAATGTGTGTTGCTTAAAAAATAATCAACGTTTTAAAATTTTCAACAAAACATGAAGCAGCATATCATATAGCAATGTGAAAAAGCCTTTTTTAAACAAAAAAACCCTTGCTTGGACCTAGTTTACCATAAAAGTTTTTGGTATCTTAGACAATAAAGGCAACTTTGGTAGAAGTAATATTCTTATTGTGTAAACTATTTAAAAACCTTTGCAACGGTTCCGGGTAGTAAAACTTAAAATCTAAATTAATAAAAAAATTTTGAGAAAATTATTATAAAAAATTACTATAGTTACAACATCAGCATAAAAATCAAGTACTTACTAAATTCATTTTTTTACAAATTAAATTAAAAAAATTTCATCAAAAAAATAATAATAATAGTAATAGTAATCGTTTTTCACATTATGAACGATTATCGATTAATAACGATAACTCTTCCGTAATACTTACTTTCTCGGTGGAGGCAAGCGAGGAGAGCACTAAAAAATAAAGAAAACATTGGCTGTCATAAAACTTGTTAAAAATAATAACAACTAAATAAGTTGCTATCCACTACCAGAAATGTTCAAAATTTATCTTTTTTCATTGCACATTGTGAATGTACCGTAATTTGTAAAAAAGACTGTTCCATAAAATCGAAAATTTAATAACTTCAGTTTAATTTTGGTTGATTGCAAAATTTTGGTTAATTGCATAAAATTACTTAAAGAAGGAAGTAAACATTTTTTTATTTAATTTCAGGAGAAAAAAAAAAAGTTTATCTGCGAATGGAACAAAAGTTTTTTATCTTATTATTTTCTTTTAGAACAAAATCACTTGAAAAAATTTTAATAAAGATCTGCTTCTAATTCTTTGATTTATAACCACCTATTGTTAAATATATACTTCGTGTAGTTGTTATTATTTGAACTAATATTATCATCGTTTTTACCATTACCCTTTTTTTTCTATTACCTGCTAATTTTTATTTCTTGTTTTTTTTATGTTTGTTCTATATGTCTGTATACTTATTACTGGATATATTATTGTACCCTGTACGTTTATATTATTATTTCAAATTGAGTTTATCAATTGGTGTTTATTTTTTTTGATCAGATTTTTTTATGAGCGATAACATTTATCTTACCATAGAAAACACTACTATGGTACCATAGATAATAACGACCACATAAACACTACCATAAAAACACTACTACCTTACCATTAGAAAACACTACCATGATTATAAGTATCAGAAGCGCCTAGAGCTATTTTTAGTGTTTGAGATGATATCCTTTCCTTATCCTCTCTATAATTGAGTTATCAACATTATATAGACATAATTTTCAAACATTAAATGACTATTGGACCGAATTATTAATCTGTCAATTAATACAAATTTTCTATAGCAAAAAAGTTTTAAAATAATTTTATTGGGATGTGAAGTAATACAAAAATTGTATTTTTTGTTCCTAGATGCAATTTTCTTATTTTGATAACATGTATTCATACTTTTAACACATGGTAAATATATACTTTCAAATGTATATTTGCTATGTGTTACAACAGTGATTTTTTCTCACTGATTGTCTCCACATATACCTAAACAATTTTTCACTTTATACTCATTTTTCTTTTGTTGAAGAAATAAAACAGATTAATGTAACTAACTTATTGTTTCATATGATGTTGAACGTTTATAATTAAACATTCCACTAAAGGAAAGCATCAACATAGCAATTGACTTGATTTTTAAAGATAAAATTTGCTCAAAAGAATTTTCTAAAACTCAGTTGAAAAAATTATTTCATGTTTTGACTTTCAGTTTCCATTTGACAGGAAATATTACAATCAAATAGATGGTGTAGCAATGGATTCTACTTTAGCACCCATCTTAGCTAATACTTTCATCGGATTTCATGAGCAAACATGGTTTATTAATTGTTTCTATTCTGTATCAAATTTTTATAAACAGTATGTGGATGACATAACTGCTATCTTTAATTTTGAATATGAAGCTCAAGAGCTTTTTCATCACCTAATAAACAGCAGAAAAACTTAAAACTTACAATTGAAAAAAAATGCCAGACAACCAGATTAAAAAAACCAATTCCTTTTCGACATAAATCTATCACATAAAAACTTATACAAGTCTTTTTAAAAATATTTGTTAGTTTTTTTTTCCCTCTCGCTACAAACTTGGTCTTAAACGTTAATTAATTAGTTGAACATATAAAATTTATAATTCTTAGATGAGATTAAAACAAGAAGAATCTTTTGTTTTTACAAAATAATTAATTTTCACAAAAAACTATGGCCTCTGAAAATAAATCATACAATGATATGAAAACGAACCCTTCTGTTTCAAACTAATACCAGTTATATTGGAGAAACCTCCAGATATTTGACAACTAGGATAAACAAGCACCTTAAAGCTGATAAACAATCCCATTGTATGTAAACATTTACATACATCAAAATCTGTCTAACAGTGATTCTTTTAACTTTTCGCATACTGTTGTAATAAACCATAAATTAAAGGTAAAAGAAGCTACTCTTAGAAAATGATTTAATAAACAACCTTCTCATTTTATAATTTACTTATCAATTTAGTTAAACTGCCAGTCTATTTGATTTTTATTTTAATTATATTGACTGGTTATTTATGGAATCATTTTTTTAATCATTTTATTAGTTTATATATATATATATATATATATATATATATATATATATATATATATATATATATATATATATATATTATATATATATATATATATATATATATATATATATATATATATATATATATATATATATATATATATATATATATATATATATATATATATATATATATATATATATTAAGGCAGCCCTTGGAATTAGGAAAAATGAGGTCGACAATTTTTTCCGACTGTAAACTATGAGAGGTCGGCAAAAAAAAATTGACAAAAATGTTTTACCATAAAACATAGAAACGAGGTTGGCAATTTTTTGCTGATCTCAAATACTTTTAGGTTGGCATTGGTGAATACCGACCCTAATTCCAAGGCCTGTATATATATATGTACGTGAGTGTGTGTGTGTGTGTTTATGTGTATATATATATATATATATATATATATATATATATATATATATATATATATATATATATATATGTATATTTTAACAAACAACTCTTATGATTCTGATTTTGAATCTGGTCTGTTTAATTGCTGATTTTTCTGATCATTTCCCCATTTTTCACATTGCATGTGGTATTCTATCTAATAGTGATAATAAAAATTATCTTGTCACTAAAAGAAACCTTACTAAAAAAATATCGATAATTTAAAAATTAAACTAATTGAGGAGTCCTGGAAAAATGTATATTCAGCTAAGGATCAAAATCAGGCATTTAATAACTTTACGGCTGCTTTTAAATGTATTTTTGATACTGTCTGTCCAATAATAACATCTGAGGTAAAAAATAAAGAGTTTTATTATCCATGGATTTATTTTGTTTAAAATAAAAAAATAAATCCATGGATGACGAGCAGTAGGGTACAGTGAATTTCATATGTTTTTGAAAAAAATAAAATTAAAACTTAGGAAAAGGTGTATTCTTATGTAAAATTAAATTTTAAGGTAGGTTCGCTATGGACAACTTTTTGATTAGAAAACGTTTTGATACCCAAATTTTCATATTTAGACATCATTAAAATGAAATATACTTTAATT